AAGAATCATACCATAATAAAAGGTATTAAAAATTCATCATGGACAATTAATAACCAATTAGGAATTATTAAGAAATAAGTTAATGAGATCATGAAAATTGAATTGGTGGTTCACAAAGGGCAAAAAAACAGAACTACCCAATAAGCTCTTGCCTCCCTCCCTACTTTTGGAAGAAGTTCTGTTTTGATAATACTGAGTGTAAAACGGCAGAGAGGGGGAGGTGCTGGCAGTCAGACTACATGTTAGGAGTTAAGTTCATTTTGTTGATCTGGAATAGAACACACCTCTTTCTTTTCTTCTCTGTTGAGGAAAACTCCAGGTCATCACTTTAGCATTAGATGGCAGGTGAAGGAAGTAGGGTACAGGGAATGGAATGAAAGAAAATTAATTACCCAATATTGGGACATGGTTTAAATAAGGAAAGTGACCCTTATTGCCCAAGGAAGGATTTTTGAGGCTACACATAAACAGTTATTTTCCTGGCCCCCTTGGCTCCAGAAATCACTGAAAAGCCACTTATTCCTCGCTTGTCTTCGGCTGTCTCACCGCCCTTCGATGTGTATCTGCTCAGTTGCAACTGAAGGCTTCTAGTTCAATTCCACCAGGAAAGGCCAGGTTACTTTTCCCAGTTTATCACTCACACAGATGAGCGCTGATTTATGGGCGGGACAGGGAAGTGATAAATGACACGCCTGGGAACTCTGGGATGCTTCGCCTTCCCACACCCGGCTTACCTAGACGGAAAGCTTCCAACCACTGCTTCCACTATTAGGGATGCAGGTCATACCTTGACACAGCTTTTGCTCCTTCAGGATTTAATGGAACCCGGAAAGGTAATTCATCATACCTCTTTATCAGATTGTTATTTATTTTAATGGTTCACCGAGTGACAGCTGGAGTTAACTAGTGAGCTGTGAACATGAATGAAAAAAATGATTTCCGGAATCACAAGTATACACATGAGTGAGAGGGAGGAATTTGCATCTATCTCCTTTCAGAATTCTGGCTATTTTTGGAGCCGTCTACTTGCAGTTTCCGGGTGAATTTTGCCTCATTAGGAAACCTTTAGAGTCTCCTTGGGATAACCTTTCAAAGAGGAGCCTCTCACGGTTCAGATGTCAGTAGTGGATGTTTCCTGAAGGTGTTTCACGCTTGCTCCCTGACGTAGTGTTCCAAGCCTCACAATTAGGCATTGGCTGGGGATCAGGGTATCACCCAGAGAAGACTGACAGCAGGTGAGCCGGCAGCTGGAGCAGATGGGATGCGGAAAGTGACAACGGAGCCTATTTTCACACAGATGTTCTTGTGCAAAAGCACAAAGGAGCAGGGGGAACAGGTCGTGAGTAAAGCAACAGAAATGATTTGGTGCATGGCTTGTGTTTTGTTGGTCTTGTATTTAATTCAGAGGGTGGGGGGGCACACTTGGAGGCTTGGTCTTTAACTGCTGAGGAGGGTTCTATGCAGAGAAGAGTGAGACTACTCATTTATTTACTTGTTTTTGAGCATTCATTGAGTGTCTACTAGCTGCAGACCCAGTACTAATCACCAGGGATGCAGAGAGTAACGAATGCCATGGTCTCTGCCCATAGAGGGAAAACGCAGGAGTACAAAGCCTGTGTGATAGGGCTGTGTGAGCGGTGCTGTCATGGAGATTTGCAAAGAGCCACACAGAAGCATCTGGGTAAACTCGGGAGGGCCAGGATGTGCATCCCAGAGAAAGCAGCGTTTTTCTTCATTTTCACAAAGAGAGAGAGAAATAGATGCTCTTGGTTAAAAGTTCACACTGGACAGAAAGGTACAGAATAAAAAGAAGTCACATTTTTTTAACCCTTTCTTGCTGCCTTCATCCTAAGTGGTAATAGCCTTAAAATCAAAGGCTTGGTGTAAAATCAAATTATACTTTTTGCTTAGTACCTTAAGTGAAAGATAGAACTGTTATCATTGTAAATGTTTTATCCAGTTACCCCCTCAACTGCTTCATGTATCACCAGTGATTCACAGATCACGCTCAGGGAAACACTACGTTTTGCCCCCGAGTTTAGACGTGGGCATGACCCCTGACTCAGCAGATGAACCCTTGAAGCAGGGGACAACCCAGGCAAACTAAGATCCCTGCGAACAGCCATTGGGTAGAGTGGGAAAGACACCATGTTGAGAGTCCAAAGGCCTGGGATCCAAATCTGGCATTACTACCCTACTGGCTTGCAACAGTTAGCAAGTTATTTGATACCTCCTTCCTCGAAATCACCGTCTCATCTGTAGGAAGGAAATAAGGATGTCTTCCCTGTGTGCTTTACAGAGTTATTGTGAGAGTCAAATATGTGCTAAAGTACTCTAAAAGACTCTTAAATTGCTACATACAAAGAATTAGTACTTTGAGGTTAAAAGCACACATTGTATTGGCAAACTATGTGTGCTTGGAAACATGCTCCACCACTCACTAATCCTTTGATCTAAAGCAACTTATTTAATCTCAGTGCCCTCATCCATAAAATGGGGATAATGATAATAATAGTTCATAAAGTTGTTTGGAAGATTTGATGAATTATCTAGGGAAGCAGAATCTCTCACTGGCCAGACAAGCGTTGAGAGAGGTCAGATCAGAAGGTACAGCACGGCAGTCGTATTTTGACTGTTAGAGCAGATAGGATTGCATTTCCATAAATCTCCTCTTGTGTTTGGAACGGCCGGTATGTGTGTATGCAAGGGGAGGGTGGCAGCCTCTCCCTCTGTGTGCTCAGAAATCCCAAGCTTTCCATGAAGACTCCCTGCAGAATAGAGGAGGAGGCCGATTACAATCTGGCTGAGACAAAGATGCTCTGAGTGCTGGGCTTGCAGCCGAGGCAGGGGCTGAGTCTGCCCTTGACTTGGCTCCTTGTGTGATGTAATGCATCCTGGGGTTGTCAGTGGAGGTGACGAGCCGCAGGTGTGTGTCCTCACACCAAGAAGGCAGCAGCTCAGTGAGTCCCTCTACCCCCTGCTCTTCTTCAGTGAAGCAGAAAGAGATGGATGAGGGGCTCTAGGAGCTAGTTCCTGACCCTGGCCGACGTGAAACTCCCAGGAAGACATAGAGCAGGGTGCTAATCCACCAGGAAAATCAGCAGCT